TTTATCTAGAATTAATTTATCAATTAATTCACCCATGAATTAACTTTGAACCTCTCGTTATGGAAATAACACAAGTTACCAATGTGTAGGAAATACACCGTATCGTTATAGGAAATTATGTGAGCTAGCAAAGGGACCCGATGGACATATATAAATCAAGCTGCTATAATCACAACGCTACTTGTAAATCAACAAGTCCGTCTTATGATTATAAAACTCTAGTGCTATTCCACTAAAAGCCTAGAGCTGCACTCTCGATTTATATAGCGTATTTACAAAGCTCTGATTAGCTCTAGTCCATGACTCAATATATTAGTGTATCATCCCCATAGGATATCCATAATCGACTTGAGGTCAAGTTCCGTTTTACCTTCCCGATTACATTTATCTTATGTTCCATTATCATACCATCAGAAAAATACTATTCGTATCATTACAAACAGTAAACCATTAGATAATACAGAGTAGTCCAATGGCTGAGCGCTCATATTTTCCAATCCACTGATAATGCATAAGAGGATTTCATTGACTCTTTATAGGAGCTATAGATTCCACTATCTATGAATAACGAATCTACGTATACACGAGTCATACCCCCAATGTACCGGCAAGCGTACCTTTACATAATGTCAGGATGTCTCCCTTTAGTACATCAAAGGATACAAGTCAAGTATACAGGTTCATCATCCATCTCAGGATTAAGATGACAACATATAATTCGTCAAAAGTGAATTGTTTTATTCAAACAGAATTATTAATTAAAACAATTCAACGTTGGTCCGATCCAATATAGATTTCACCATTAGAAACTATATCAATGTCTCCACCCATGGAGTCCCACCTCCGACGACCAAGACAAGCCATCTCCGTTAGGAAGTAGACAACATAACAATCTTAACATGAATAAAGCGCCCAATTTTATTCCCTCGATTGTAGATCATAAGATTTATACTATCATCTTTAGATTCTTGTCTTCCGCATGTTCTTCACATTATATGCATGACCTAAAGATTTAGAATGACAGTCTCAGACTTTTAGTTTGCTTATCATACATTCAACTATTATGAACATAAAGAGGACAATTCATAGATATATAAAATAAACAAATCTTTATTAATAGTCAAAATATCTCAAAGAATATGGTTACATTTATTCCTAAGGGCATAAACGCTAACAATAAGGAAATAAAATATATCATTACTTCTCCCTTTTTGGTTTAAGGTCACCTGGTGATTTTTAGACAAATCAACATCATACTTTTACAAATCATTACTTGAAATATATGTGTTACAACTAATATGATAGATATAATATTGCACCAATATTTGTGCCTTTGTACAATGTAAAGAAATTTATGCTACTATATTGTACATATTTATTTACACATATATATAAATTACTTTTCCTTTTATATAATACAAAAATATTACCCGCAGCATAGCGTGGGTAACAAACTAGTATTAAAACTATAAACAAATTTTATAAATTCCGCTTAAATTTTGTCACTTGTATTTACATACCCTTTAAACTTTAAAATGTGCACTTTTAGAACTTTGTCACTTGTGTAACATGTCTCTGAGTCTAATTCTGTCAAGTTTTTTAATGGAAATCCTTACGTTGCCTTCTGAATTTTATCACTTGTGTCAATATGTCATCTAAACTTTAAAATATACATGTTATGTTCCCGAATTATAATATGTCTCCGACTTATAACTTGAGTTGAAGTTCTAAGTTGAGTTTGTGTTTAGATGTGCACATCATAATTGATTATTTAACGCTTCGATCTTCCTCAAGGATCATTCATAGTGCTTGTGATTCTTTCCAGAATTAGTTTTAAGGAATACAAAGGAGGACACGACAGACGAGTTATACCGAGACCGATTAACTCAGAATCAAAGTAAGTACAAACCTCATCTACAGTTTAATTAAGATAGTCATTTAAGGCGTATTATTTTCATGAAATATGTTAATTATGAAATTCACGAAATATGTTTATGTTTACGTTAAACGTCGTATATGGTTTTCTAATTAAACTTAACTGTTTTCAATAAGCGCGTAAGTGAAAATCGTAAAAGCCGATAAGCTAGACTCCTAATTTTACGACGTTAAATACGGGTCTCAACACTATTATGAACCCATCAAGTTCGGTAAAGTAAAGTTTATTAAAAGTGTAATTTATGGATAATGATTTAATTAATTATTAAATTAATTAATTAAATTATCTTAGACTTAGAATATGGGTAAGGAAGTTAATTAATTATTAAAATTAATTAACTAAATTATGTATACGTAGTTTATGAATAAGAGGGTTAGTTAATTACTAAAATTAGTTTACAGGATAATTAATTAATTATTAAATTAATTAATTAATTATCAACTTAGCACGAATTTATATTGGCAATTAAGGAAGACAAAATTATGAGGATTTAATTAATCCTTATAATAGAAATTTTAAATTTTTGCGATCCTTAATCAAAGGGATAAATACGTTCTAAGAAACATTTAATTCCTTTATGACAATGCTAAATAAAAATAGCATACTAAAAGTTAATCTCACCCTCTGAATGGGTGTTCCTTTACAAAACTTAGCAGTAGAAGATAAAAGATCTGGGCAACTAGAGAATTCTACTTTAACTGGAAACTGGGAAAATAGAAATCTTACCTACGATATGAAAACTACGGTTTTCAAACTAAGATGTTTTTACCCGTTTTGTAAAAATTATGGAAATGCATGATAATATTATGTCATGTTATGTCACAATATGCTATGTCATGGTATGCTATGTTATGTCACGATATGCTATGTTATGTCATGATATGTTGTGTTAAGAAATGCCATGTTATGTTAGTTATGCGATAGTTAAATTATATTCGCAGACTCATCTTATGTTAAGTATGATGACGTTTATGAATGTGATGTTACATAGTAACATGTCATACTGTAAATACACAATAAGACAAGTGAAACAAAAAAGTTAAGAGTATCGTACCAACCTCTTGGCCTAAGGGGAGGCTCATGTTCAAGTTCAATTCTCCCAACCTAAGGGGAGAATTCAAGTCCTCTCGACCTACGGAGAGGCACTCATGTTTCTAGATCACGTTGTTGGGACCTTGCAAACCCCAACTTCCCGATGATAGCGTGCAATTGGTACGAACACTCGGGTCCACCGTGATAAGTAAGACAAGATTTGTAAATTCTTAAGACATGTTCATAATGAAGCATAATCGGCTCATGCATATTTTATTAAATGTTTTTAAAAGTTATGTTTTGCGAGAATAATTTCCTACTTGCTAAGCAAAAGCTCATTTAGATATGTTCATGCTGTAGGTAAGAAACCTATCAGTAATTCTTAAAGGGCAGTGGCAAACGGCGGACGAATGGTGAAGATAGGAATAGATACCGCTCACACTTAAATCTTCTACAGTAAGTTTAAATAATCGTGTATATATATGATTCAAAGGTTTCAAACATATATGTTTGAAAAGTATATGTATGTATGTATGTTAAAGAAAACTGAGGTTGTAGCTAACAACCCTGGTCTTGAATATTTAAGTTTTAGAATGTTGCAACAGTCCGTGCAACAAATATACAAATTTTTAAATATGGCGATTTAAATGATTGTGGCAAACGGCAGACGAATGGTGAAGATGGGAATTGGATACCACTCACACTTAAATCTTCTATAGTAAGTTTAAATAAAATCGTGTATATATATGATTCAAAAGTTTCAAACATGTATGTTTAAAAAGTATATGTACGTATGTATGTTAAAGAAAACTGAGGTTGTAGCTAACAACCCTGGTCTTGAGTATTTAAGTTTTAGAATGTTGCAACAGTCCGTGCAACAAATATACGAATTTTTAAATATGGCGATTTAAATGATTGATTTTGAAAAGACTTTAAGAAGTACTTGAATTTAAGATTTCCCATGAAATCTAGTTCAAAGTTATATTAGATAGTTTGATTGAATTGACTAGTTTTAGAAAGACTTTTAAAGAGTATTTGAAACAAGAGTTCAAACACCATTCAGTTTGGAAGATATTTTTAGAATGTATTATTTTATTTAAAATTAAGAAAAACTTTAAGAAATTTAATATTTCATTTTAAGAAATTACTATTATGATTTATAAAATTATTTCTTCTTATAATATTTATTTAAAAAAAATCGTTATTTCAAGTAATTTAAGTATAAGAATATGTTAAGTATGTTTAAGTTGATGGCCACGTAGAAGGGTTGTCACATCTCGAATTTGAATTTTTAATTTGATTTGATATGTGACTTTTTGTGAGAGTTTTTTATTATAGCAGAAAAGTTATATGTGACTTTTTGTGAGAGTTTTTTACTGTAGCAAACTGGAATTGAAAACTCGAATAAGAGAACTAAACGAGGTCAGAATATGTTCAAGTCATTTATTTTCTTTTGTTTACTTTTTTCTAAAAAAAAAAAAATCAATACAAACCTTAAAAAACCTATTAAGTTAACAAACCTCAAGAAAAAATCTTCAAAAAAAAAAACACGTAGTATAAAATTCAATAAAAAAAATCTATCATTTACATTAAGGAACCTATTAATTTAATAAATCTATTCCAATAAAAAAATGAAAAAAACCAAAAAAATTAACAAACCTATTATATTATATAGATTTACTTATTTTTTCATTCCTTATTGCCTTTAATCAACTAATGTTTTGATAATTGATGCCTAATAGAAGGAAATGCATTCAATAACCCCAAATATCATAACTAATTAGTAATTTAATAATCATATCAATATTTTTGTTCAAAAAACTGATAGAATTAAGATAGAGAGTGTTGTGGGAGATGAGTAATTCTTGCACCTTTTTCTCTTCGTTGTCACTACTGTCATACTTTCATCAACATTAAGACAGCCCAACTCCAAATAAATCCCAGGGCCTTCTTGCTTAATAATCTCTATCATAGACTTAAGTGAAACCCAAGATTTACTCAAAGCTGGGTCTCCCTTAAGTGTAATCCACTGATCACTCATCTTGGCTCTGTTCATTTCACCGATTTGAGTTTAGAATTCGAGTCTTGTTACAGTAAAAAGTTCTTACAAACAATCACATCTAACTTTTTACTACAGTAAAAAGCTCTCATATAAAGTCACATATCAACTCGAATTAGTAAACTAAACGGCCATAATTTCAACATTTTCCAATTCACTGGCATACTCCCAAGAGTCTTAAGCCACTGCATACCCAAAATAACATCGGTGCCTCCTAATTCCAAGGGCAGGAAATTCTCAATTATAGTCTACTCTTGCATAACACTTCCCTACAAATTCCCCAACTACTAACTGAGTCGCCCGTGGCCATTTGTATCCCATGACCCACCATATCCCCAATCGGAATACCCAACTTCTCCATCAAATCCAAATTGGGTCAACCATCAAATCCAACTTCTCCACCATGGTCCCTACAAATTCATTTTGCATCAAAGTGGTCCCACGAGGCCGGAACGGCCTAAATCTCAAACCTTCTCGATCTCTTTTCAACAACAAATACTTTTCTTCGACTTTCTGAGCTATTACCGTTATGCGACCCAATCCGGTCGGATTCAACAATCTTAGATTTCCCCTAATCTCCGTTTTGAGCCCATTAACGAAAATACCTTCCAAGATCGCCTCAGATACGTCCTTGAGTGGAGCCGCCGAAATTTTGAGCCTTGGGCGATAGTCCGACACTGTAGTTTCCTGTTTGATTGCCAAGAATTGCTCATGAGGACTTCCCTCCTCCGAAGTACGGAACCGCCGTAGTAAATTCCGGCCAATTTGAAAACGCCGTAGATAGGCCATCTTCTCATTGAAACCAAGATAAAGCCTTCCAAGGTGATTCCAGCCGTGACCAACTTGTCCCGCTCCACTATCTTATTTGCCGAGAAGTACTTCTCCATCTTGAAGAGCCACCCATCCGGATCTTCACCATTGAAAATCGGAAATTCCACCTGTCTCCCTTGGGAAATAACCTGTTGGGAATCCGGGATTACATATCCCAAAATGATATGCGGAGATTTGTATTAGTTATAGGCAGGATTTGTGTTTTTTAATATAAGAAACTAGGCTGTAAATACTTTCATATTTTTCTTATTTGGTTAGTTTCCTCATTCTAGAATAGTCGACTTCCTAGATTGTAATGTGAGCCTAGTGTGTATATATGTATCCGATTCTTTTGACAGAATGAATAAGAAAAATTCTCCGATTTTCCACATGGTATCAGAGCCATTATTCGGCCTTTCTTTCGGTCTTCATCACTGATTTTCGTTCCAGGCCTTCATTGCCATTCCTTTAAGCCTTCATCGCTGATATTCTCTCTCAGCCTTAATCGCTGATTTGTCAATCCTGATTTCTTTGTTTCAATCTTCGTTGTTCCGGTCAGAACCAATCCTTTTTTGATCTCTCAACATGTCCACGACAACAACGCAGTCTTCCCGAAGCACTACCCAGTCAGAAGAGACGCAATTGTTTCATTCGACGGGAGATCTACCAAATCTTCAGGCTGCCTACAAATTAAATGGAAAAAAACTATATGAAATAGTCTCCGGTGGTTAGAATATTCCTTAACGAAAAAGGAAAAATTAGTCATCTACTTGGTACTGTACCCAAGAAGGGGAACGTTAAGTTTGATGCTTGGGCTGAAGAGGATTCCATGGTCATGTCTTGGCTGTGGAATTCTATGCTACCAGAAGTCAGTGACATCTTCATGCTTCTACCAACGGCCAAGGATATATGGGAAGCTGCACAACAAACCTACTCTAAGGTGAAAGATGCTGCACGAATTGTTGAGAGACTAAACTCTGGGCAACCAAACAAGGTGAGCGTTCAGTCACGGAGTATGCCAATTCATTGAAGAATTTGTGACAAGAGATGGACCATTATCGATGTATTTAGATGAAATGCTGTGAGGATGCAGCCGCATTAAAGAGCTTTATCGAGAAGGATCGAGTGTATGATTTCCTTGCCGGATTAAACATGGAATTTGATCAAGTAAGGGTGCAGATTCTAGGTAAAGAAGAGTTACCTTCACTGAACGAGACTATTTCTATTGTCAATGCTGAAGAAATTCGGAGAGGAGTTATGCTCAATACACCACTAATAGAAGGATCTACGATGCTAGGCAAATTCAATGATGAAAAACAGAAGTCCAACCCAGAGAGACCACAAACCTCAAATGTTGGAAATTTAGAGGCTAGGAAATTGGAGTCACGGCCGTCGAACAAAGATAATCTTTGGTGTACCTATTGTAAAAAATCTCATCATATGAAGGAGCAATGCTAGAAGCTACATGGAAAACCTCTAAGCTCTAAATGGAACAGGGGACCTAAAAGTGGAACATAGCGGGGTCAAGTGCATATGACTCAATCTCAGGGAAACAAAGACATGGAAGCTGTGAATGCTAGTGGGGGAGAGCAAAATGAATTCAACAAAGAGGACATTGGGAGATTACGGGCACTTCTTGATTCGTTTGAAAAGTCAATAGGTACATGTTCTTTAGCAATTTCGGGTAAGCCTCATTCCTAATATGCTTTTAAGTGCTTCGAATTTAGAGTTCTCAAATTCGTGGGTTATTAATTCTAGAGCAACCGATCATATGACCAATGCCTCCCATAAACATATCAACCTTGCCCGAGTAATAGGAAAATTTCTATTGCTGATGGATCCTTGGTTACTGTTACTGGTCAGGGGGATGTTGTTTCAAGCCCATCTATGACACTAAAAAATGTCCTACATGTACCTAAACTATCTATAAATCTTGTGTCTTTTCATCAAATTACAAAAGATCTTGTCAAAAAGTTAGGGTTGATTGGTTGATTAGGATATGTTTTAAAATTAGGATATGTTTAAAGTCAAATAAAACAAATATGTTACAAACAGATTCTGTTATCCTAGGGTTTGTTAGTTTGAATTTGAATTTTATGTTGATAAGATTAGAATAGATTGTTACCAAGTGGATAGGGTTTTGTTGCTGAAATCCGAGGCACTCCTAGGGCTATTTATACAAATTTTGTCAATTATATTCAATAAAATTTTAGAAGTTTTTTCCCTTCAAAACTTTCATGGTATCAGAACCATGACCGACCTGAATTCCTAATGGTCAAGACGGTGATGACCGGAGCAGTTAAAGGCTCCTCGTTGTCCGGGGAAGTGATCGAGAGTGCTACATCAATTCAGAATTCTCTACAACTAACAACTCACAAGTTGAATAGAAAAAACTATCTTGAATGGGCACAGACGATGAAGCTCGTTGTAGATGGAAAAGAAAAACTTGGTCACTTGACTGGTGAGGTGAAGAAACCAACAGATGATGATCCCAAACTCAAAGCATGGAGATCCAAAAATTCCATGATTACAGCTTGGCTCATCAATTCCATGGAGCCTGCAACAGG